CCTCAAGCACTACGTTTTGAATATCGCGTACTGTCTTTGGATTTTATATGATCTGGGATCTGCAATATGGTTAGGCGATACGCTCCAGTCTCCGAATCGAGTTCTGGCTGAACGTAGACGAGTAGACTCATATAAGAGTTGCAATTGACTAACGATAGAAACGGTAGAAACATCTAAACGATAAGAATGAAAAGCAATGCATTTTGTCGCTTTTAGAAAACTAAATAGCGATACAAGTGCAACGATTAGTGAGCTTCCATTCAGTTTTCTTTCTCTCTGAGTGGAAAAAAAAATAATCGAGGATGATGACTGAGATAGCCTAACCAGCAACTGCACAGATAACTAAGAGAGAAATTAGATAGAATGGGGAACACATGATAGGGTCTCAAAAATAAACGCATAACCGCAGCTGCTTGCCATCAGAGGTATTAGAACCACCACTTTGAATGTAGCCGATAACCAAATTATAAATATTGGTTGGTTTTATTGCTTCAGGGAAAGGCAGAACGTCGAGTTTTCAAATGGCAAGTATCAAAAAATCGGAATCATCATGAGGAGAGAAGACTACCTTCATTAACCGGAGTTGGAGTTAAATTAAATACAAATGCAGCGGTAGATCAAAAGAAATAAACGTCACCGTGTTATTTTATTTTCCAAGGTTTTGTCGGCTGGATCATTTTTCCCGTCTAATATTATATATTCTTAGGTACTAATCAACAGCTTTTAAAAAATTAAACTCTATGATCAAGGAAATAGCTCATCTCTGATAGTATTTTGCAGTTTGACTACGATAAAGTAAAGGACTTAGTCCAAATTAACGCAAATCAGGTGTATGCTTCCATACAAAATTCGGTTCAGCTGCACTCAAATTAACATACTCTAATTACTTCCTTTATGATCCCGCCTGTGAGATAGTGAACGTGAGGCTGTCAATAAATGTCTTATTCATGAGAATATTTTTAACTTAAGATATGAGATTACAACTGTATTAGTTTCAAAAAATTACACCGTCGAATTTATGACGACACTCTTGAAGTTCTGTTCAGTAGGTTTGCTTTACTTATGACCTACCTTGCAAGAAAATAAAGTCTTTAATATAGAAATTACTACATTAACATCATAAAGTTGGTGATGTTGACTGTTGACTAATTATTTTAGCTTTATACCCTATCCCTACAAACTGGTTCTCATTCGCACTCTTGTTGATAGAGCCTACACAATCAACAACGCATGGTTGGGTTTCCACGAAAACATCTAGAAACTCACTGAAATCCTTAAAAAGAATCTTTTTCCAGCCCATCTGGTTGAAAGGGTTGTCAATCGGTATCTCACGCTCACCCGTGATGAGTGCGATCCCCCGGTCTCCGTTTCAGACACTACTACTAACTTTTATTTTAAATTACCTTACATTGGCCCTTTTTCTGTTATCACGCAAAAAAGGGTTCGCCAATTTGCTAAGTGTTATTGTAACAACATCGATGTAAAGTTAGCTTTTTCATCTTTTAAAATAGGCGATATGTTTGGGGTGAAAGACCCTATCCCTCGTGGGCTCCGTACGTGTGTGGTTTACAAGTTTTTATGTGCGAGCTGTAATGCCTGCTATGTGGGCGAAACCCCTCGACATTTATCCACACGCGTACGTGAGCACTTGATCAGTAATGGGACCTCTCATATTTTCAGATATTTACATAATTCTCCACAATGTCGCACTCTTTGTTCTGATGAGTGTTGTAACACCTTAGATCACGCTGCCACAACTTTTCAACTTAAAATCAAAGAAAAAACTATTACCAAATGAAAAATCGACTAAAGAAGTTTTTTAAGTAAAAAAGAAAATCTTGTGAACCAAAATTAAAAACATTAAAAAAGATGCCTCGTATTTCAATTTTGAAATGTTTTTCCAAGCCAGTTAAATTGCCTTCTTCTGTGATATAACTTCTCCTGTAAACACCAAAAGCTTTCATCCCTCCATTCAAGGTTTCTAGAAACTATTCATCTTCATTTATTTGATATTCAGGTGTTGATTCTCCAGACGAAGCGGTTTTGCCGGCGGTTTGGGTTCACATAGATACGGAACTTTCTTTGAATTAACGACGTACAGGTTTAGAACAGTTTACCTGTTGTTCCTGTTCAGCTGCACTCAGAACGTCTTACGACATTTAGATATCATATTTCAGACATTTGGAAACTTAAAGTCGAGTCGTGATAGTGGTGTGTTTATTCTCTATCACTATTCCGTGGCGTGCTGTTTTCTTATTCATTCTGAAAACCGCCTTTGGTCAAATTTGACTCTAACTCAGTTTTTAAAGGATACGAAGTACTTCGTTATCAGTGAGGTAGGTTCGTAAGATTTCATTCTTTTACAAAGTCTGGTTTTGGTGAGATGAAGTAAGCCGAGTTAAAGTGGGTGGAGAGAGTTTATGGAAAATCTAGAATAAAATTGAAACCCTCTTGGAAAATTCTAGAATTTTCTGAGTACGACATTTTCCAACTTGATCCCCTCTTGCCATCTCTGTTATCATATTTACACACATTTCCTCCTTCTAATGCTTATAAACGGTTGATGAATTGGAGCCATCTTTGAAATGAGCCTGTTCTTTCTTGAGCCTTCATTACACGTTCGTACGAGACGATGAAAAAAACAAATTACATATGGACTTCATATTTCTAACAAATCGTTCAAAGCCAGTTGCTTCAATGATATAATTCCTCCCGCAAAAACCAAAAGCTTTCAAAGCTCCATTCAAGGATTTTACGAACTTTTTTCCACTCGTTTAATGTGCTAATGTTAATTCTCTATTCAGCTGTTTTGTGGGTGGATTTACCACCATACAGGACGTTAATCACATTAACAATCGTGGAATTTAGGCGGATGTCTCTATCTGTAATTCTTGTTTAGCTGCACTAAAAATGCCGTTTTCCTTTCAGCTATTATCTGTCAATCATTTGGAGAAACTAAATTGGAGTTCTAATAGTGATAAGTTTAGTCTGCATTGCCCTCTTCCTCAGCCTGCTACTTTCTTTTCTATTTGAAAACCGCGCTTTCCGCATTTGACTTAAGCTCAGTTCGTTAAAAGGATAGAAACACTTTCGTTATCAGTGAGGTAAGTTCAAAATATTCTTAAGATTCGTTTGCAAATTCTGCCTTCGATGAGATGAGGAAAACTGAATCAATATGGACGGAAATGTGTTATTGATAATCTTAATAATCGTAACGCGACGAAAAAGATATCTTTCTCCAGCTTGTTGCTTATGATATTGACAAAGGAAGAAATTTATCCGAAGCGAGAAAAGACTATTACTAAACTTCTGGGTGTAGAAAATAAAACATAAGAGATGCTTTTGCTTTTAAGAATGTTCGTTATGTTTCACCGTACCTACAATTAATTTGTCTTTGAAGTTTTCGAGGCGGTAACAACAACAACCGTATTTCGAATAGCGGCACCGAGAAGAGGAGTAGGTCTTTCTATACTCAGCCTTTCTACTATATTTCCGGAAGATCTCTAAATTGTTTGTTGCCATCTGTCTTTGGAGGCTATAAATTTCATTCAAGCAACTGAGATCACTGGTGGCAAAGCTTTCCGCTTATTCAGTGAACATCAAAAAAGTTCATATTATTATATTCGTCTTTTTCGAAAGAAAAAAAAAATGAATAGCCTGACTGATTAAATTTCCGGGTATGCATATCAAACTCTTTCCCCAGTGCGACGAACATTTGTTTTTCTCGGTTCCAGGTGTACGCAACCGCTAACCCCACGTAATGCGCATGCTCTCCGTTACGAATTTTCAAAATGGCGGACAGGTCAAAGAGGGAAATTAAAAAAACAAAGCGATTTTGCAATGAATTCTCAACATATATCCTCGTTAGAAAGGCGAATCCACGGAAGAAAGATACAAAACTGTATGATATTAAATCGATACCGAGGGCCCGTTTAATTGCCTTCCGCCACGATTATTAGCTTTCTTGACAGCTTTCTGAAGACAGAATACTTTCTTTCTGAAGACTTCTGATATGCGGCTATTGATTATTACACCTCGTATACCTGATTGCTCAAACACTTTGTTTACGATTGTTGAAAGGACCGACTCATGGTTCTCCGTCTTCGTCTTGACATTTCTTTGAAATAGTAAATAGTATAGACTAGTAAGCTGAAACGAAAAATTAATCAGGGAAGTTTACAAAAATCCAGCAAACAAGCTTTAAAAAGGCATTTATTTAGACTTCATACTTCAACGAACTTCACAAATCTTACTTGTTTATCTTGTAATTAAACGATGGCATATTAATTCCCGAAGCGCTTTTTGAGTTTCCCGATCCCTCACTTACTGCTTTCACGCTTACAAAACAGGAAAAATCAAAAGGAGGAAGATACAGCTGTTTTGAAACGCCATTTGACGAAGGTAAATCTGCTTTTTGTTCGACACTTTACATATCAAAACAAAGGAAATTTGTTCCTCTTTTTGATTCTGTACATTTTTAATTTGCGCCTGCGTAAAAGAGATATCGCCCGAGACCCTTCTCTCGGTCGTGTTTTGATCAAAAACGCCTTGTTAATTTCACGCAACCGCTCGGAGGAAAGGTAAAAATGACGAGGGAAAAACTTTACCTTCAAGTTAGAAAATTAGCGAAATAGAAAGCCACAATATTATAGTTTAATATTTCAGAGGTACATTGAGAGCTTTTTCCGTAGAGAATCCGCACGATGGTAAAACATTCGAAAATTACACTCGATTTGAGTGGGGTGTTGAAGTGGGCGTGGTCACTACATTCATGTTAAGACTATTTGTACCCCATGAGTTTGATATGATGCCGCATAAAGAAACACGAGGATCAGTTTTAGTTAACAGACGAAACTTAGTTGGTCAAAACACGTTAAAAAAAACATAAAAAGCAATAATTGACATATTTCTTTATTGAGAATGTTGAATTCGTATTTCATTTTATCTCTAATTGAACTGTTTTCTGTTATTTTTATAGCAGCGAACAGAGCTCAGAGAAAATGCAGCCTTTCGGCTCAGCTTCAGAGTGCATTCCATGGCTTGTGGTCCTCATCATCGAATGTCTGGCCATAGTCATCCTTAATATCATCACCATTGTGGTTTTTGTGAAGAAGAAGCGTCAGCTACAGCGGCGGAGTACATATTTGATCATCCATCTGGCGATAGTCGATCTCTTAGTGGGCGCAGTCTCTGGGCCGCTAATGATTGAACACATTGCAACGTTGTTTTGTCCGCTATGGAAGTACAGACGAATGACTCTTTGGTCTCATTATCTATTTACTGTATTTCAACTTCTATTCCCGTTCACTTCATTTACAAATCTTATGGCTATTTCCTTAGAACGGCTACACGCAACATTTTGTCCATTCAGGCATCGCTTTGTGAGGAAATGGGTTTATAGAGCCATAATTATTGTCATTTGGTTAATACCTATTGTTAGAGTAGCCGCTATAATTTTCCTATGGGAAATTGGTTATGTCGAGGTAATTAATACCTACTTTTATCTCCCATTTTATGCAGTTTCTCTATTTGTTATATGTGTATCTTACATCCTCGTTGTTATCAAAGTACGATGTAGTCGTCATCTTCAATTCCATTCTAGGTCCAAAAGAGAAAGAAAACTGACGGGTACTGCGCTTATCGTCTCACTTGTATCGTTACTTTGTTTTCTACCAGCGATAATATATATAGCATGTTGTGGCCTTTCCTTAAATTATTTCCAGAATGCTCACATTTATCTGGCTGTGCTAGTTCTATTTTACGCTAACTCACTTGTAAATCCTATAATTTACGCTCTTCGGATGCCAGGATTCAGAGAAGGTTTATTACAGCTATTTTACAGGGTCCCAGACCTTTCTCGTATCGCCTCAGCAAATCTGCCACTTCGTAACCTTAGGAGAGCGTAGATTAAAAGTAAGAAAACTACCAGCATTTCCATTTTATGTTTTGGTTTCTATTGAAATCTTAACACTTGTAAAAAAGAGGAGGAGGAGGAGGTATAGGAACAGGTAATTGATACAGTATAGTTTTGCCTTTAAATAGAAACAGTTTAATCAACTTTTTATTGGCCCAAAATTGTGATCATTAGCATAAGAGCTTGACTTGAACCAAAATAAATGTGACTTTTAACAAATCCGAGATGAATAACTCAGAGGGACTCTCCCACCCCCTCCCCCACCCACATTGATTGTGTGAACACGGAAAACAATTTTTTTTGGTTTTATTGAAGAGCACTATGCGCAAAGGAAAGCAATTCAAAAATGTGTGAATAAAAAGTAAAAATCGTATTTACAACCTCTGGAATAACCACAGTTTTTATATGGACGGGAGTGTTTTACCGGGAAATAAAACACTGACGTCCACACTCGTAGTATCAATACGACCACCACATCCAGGAACCAAGAGGCGTATTTTTCGTATGTAACACGTGGCGTGGTGATATTGAGCAACGACGACACGATTCGGGCCTGTTTAAACTTTGCTGAATGAACTTGGTTTGTTTGTTGTTTGGAATATTGATTGGCAGCAAGATTCATTGAGGTAAGCGACGAAGATGTAAATCGGCATTTCCCGAACAACATGAGAACGAGAAAACCTAGATATCTTCTCGCCACCGAGTAAAATTCTAAGCTTATCTACCAGTGAGAGCAAAAGAGTCCCAAAACGTCGACCTTCTATTTTATTTATCATTTTTTATGAAATGAAGACAAAACGGCTCATCATATAAAAAACATTGCCAATTTTCAGGTGAAAACGTATTCAGCCCTGTAATTATAAGTATGTCATTCCACGGAAGGGTCTGAAGACTGGTTCACACGTGCGACACAAATGAAAACGCAAACGCAAATGGAAATGGAAGCGAGTTCACACGTCCAACGTAAATGCAAGGAAAGAGAGATACGCAAGCACAGTAAAAGTATTTTTCCAAGATGGCCGACAATGATTGCGCTTTTTCCGATTCACACGTGTGAGAAGCGAACACAAATACTGGCTTAAGAAGATGAAAATGTTTTTATTACTTGGGTTGACGCTTGCGTTTGCGTTTGCATTTGCGTTGGGTGGTTCACACGATCAATTCCTTGCATTTGCAATTGCGTTTTGCTGAGGTCTCCTGGTGTGATTGATTGACAGAGGGAGGTGTGGGTATTACTCTCTTAGGAAATTAATTAAACTTTTTAGAGGCAGCACAATAGAAATATTATACGTACTTCAAATCGTGTAATAACCCAAGTCAATGTGCCACTTTGGAACTTAAGAACATCTCGGATATATGGTTGGAAAGTTCGAAGGACGCTTGAATTTGATGTGTTCAGACAGCGAGTATTTGTATTGCTAAAAAAGATTTTGTGCCATCAGTTTTTTGCTTTCTTTCAAAGTATAATTAGGGACAGATAACTAAAATGAGGAAAATAGCCGCGCTTTTTTTTTGCAATGGGAGCGAAATAGAGGTTCAGCTTTTCATTCAGACCGAAGAGACTAAATTCTGTTGTTATCGTCCCTGAGGAATCCTGGTAACTGGTTGTGATAAAAATTGCAATTCTGATATAAGTTAACTAGCCTAATCCGAATCAAGTGACACCTTGCCGCAAGAGCCGCCATAGTTAATGACTTCTGAGGTTGACACACAGCCCACTGCAACCCCGCCTCCCAGGGAGAAAAATACTGGTAAAGCGTATTTTTTCCAAAGCTGCGTTTATTGATTTGGGTTGAAATATTCACTTTATTAACGATCCACCCATTAATGGAGACTTAATAAAAACAAGAAAAACAACAACAAACAAAAAATAGATAAATGAGTTTCCACAAGTTCGTCGAAACCGACTAGGGTGAATAATCGTGCACTGAGAGAGTACTCCATAGTTCTGCATTTCCGGTTTAAAACAACTCCTTCTTTAATGCTCCCCTGTCCCTAGCCCCCTTCGAGAGCAAGTACGGAAATGTAAGTCCTCACTTGAATTGCCTCACTATGTATACATTTCCATACGTTTAAAATACAGCCTTCAAAACTTTGGATTCGCCTATGTAAATTATGTAAATGAACACAAAAACTCCGGGACAAAATCGTCTCAAACAAAACAAAGACTATATAGGTACCGAACACCTTAAAACCCTATGCTTTGAATATCGCGGGTTGACTTTGGATTTTATATGATCTAGGGTCTTGCAAAATGGTTACGCGATACGCTCCAGTCTCTGAATTGAATCCTGACAGAGCGTAGACGAGAAGACTCTTATGAGAGTTGACTAAAGATAGAAACGGTACAAATATCTAAATGATTAAAATGACAAGAAATGCATTTTTTCGCTTCTAGAAAACTAAGCAACGATAAAAGTGCAACGATTAGTGAGCTTCCGCTCAGTTTTCCTTTTCTTTTGAGTGGAACCAAAAGTAATCCAGGAAGATGACTGAATTAACCTGACCAGCAACTGCACAGATAACTCAGAGAGAAATTAGATAGAATGAGGAACACATGATGGGGTCTAAAAAATAAAATCATAACTGCTGCTTCTTGCCATCGGAGGCATTAGAACCACCACTCCGTGTAGCCTATAACCAAATGATAAATATTTGGTGTTTTTATTGCTGCGAGGAAAGGCAGAACGTCGAGTTTTCAAATGGCAAGTATAAAAAAAACGGAATCATTAGGAGAAAATATTATCCTTTTTCACTGGAGTTAGAGTTAAGTTTAATACAAATGCACCGGTAGATCAAAAGAGTTAAATGTCACCGTGTAATTTTATTTTGTAAAGTTTTGTCGACTGGATCATTTTTTCCCTTAATGTCATATATTCTTAGTTACTAACCGACAGCTTTTAAAAAGTTCAACTCTGTGATCTGGGAAATAGCTCATCTCCGATAGTATTTTGCAGTTTGAAATTAGTTCAAATTAATGCATTACAGGCATAGGCCTCAATCCAAAATTTTGGTCAAGCTGCTCTCAAATTAACATACTCTAATTACCTCCCTTACTTCTGCTTCAATGATATAATTTCTCCCGTAAACACCAAAAGCTTTCAAACCTCCATTGAAGGATTTTAGAAACTATTTATTTCCACTCGTTTGATGTGCTTATGTTGATTCTTTACATTCATTTGTTTTGTGGGTGAATTTACGACGATGCAGGACTTTAATCACACTAACAATCGCGGAGTGTAGGCGGATGCTTTTATCTGTAATTCTTGTTCAGCTGCACTAAAACTGCCGCTCTCCTTTCAGCTATTATCTGCCAATTATTCAGAAAAACCAAATTGGAGTTCTAATAATGATAAGTTTAGTCTGCATTACATTCTTCCTCAGCATGCTGCTTTCTTTTCTATTTGGAAACCGCCGTTTCTACATTTGAATTAAACTCATCGTTATAGAATAGAAACACTTTCGTTATCAGTGACATGCTCTAATTACCTCCCTTACTTCTGCTTCAATGATATAATTTCTCCCATAAAAACCAAAAGCTTTCAAACCTCCATTCAAGGATTTTAGAAACAATTTATTTCCACTCGTTTTATTTGCTTATGTTGATTCTCTATATTCATTTGTTTTGTGGGTGAATTTACGACGGTGCAGGACTTTAATCACATTAACAATCGCGGAATGTGGATGGATGCTTTTATCTGTAATTCTTGTTTAGCTGCACTTAAAATGCCGCTCTCCTTTTTGCTATCATCTGCCAATTATTCGGCAAAACTAAATTGGAGTTCTAATAATGATAAGTTTAGTTTGCATTGCCCTCTTCCTCATGCATGCTGCTTTCTTTTCTATTTTAAAACCGCCCTTTCTGCATTTGAATAACTCAGTTCGCTAGAGGATAGAAACACTTTCGTTATCAGTGAGGTAAGTTCAAAATATTCGTAAGATTGGTTTGCAAATTCTATCTTCGGTGAGATGAGCAAAACTGAACCAAATATGGACGGAAATATGTCATAAATAATCTGCAGCTTAACAGGACGAAAACCCTGAAGCCAGGTAAAAAAGTGTGCACGTCATCTTATTTACGCACGGGCGTGCGTAAATAAAGATTTTGTTCATAGCGGCTCAGTAGGACTTACATAGCGCAAGCACACGCACTATGTTATAATATTTTTGTTTTATCAGTGATCCACCCATACATGGAGACTTCATAAAAACGAAAAAAAGCAAACAAAAAATAGATGAAAAAAAGAAAAGAAGAAATTTAGGTATCTTAACACTCGCGATCTTCTTTTTAACCCTTTAACTCCCCGATCTGATTGTTAATTCTCCCTTCTACCTGTTACCCATTTCCTTGTTAATTTAGTTCTGAGAATTTTGTGTTAGATCAAGTTAACAACTTCTACCTGGTAAGTTTAAATATTTTCATTATCTGTTTGCTGGATAATGTAGGGATATTATAGGGAGAAGTTTCATGTTGATCACTTTTGGGAGTGAAATGGTTAAGTAAGAAACTTTATTCCGGCTTTAATCGTCTTGATTTTAAATTCAACTTTTGAACCGTCGCTAATTTCACGTAGATCACGTGATGAAATATTTGATTAACAATGGAAAACAATGAATCGTGCGAAATGAAGATTACGGTACTATTTCAACGTTATCAGTAAGAGCAAAATGCCTTAACGTCGCTGTGGATCAGTTATCCAGTCTCTTGTTAGCTCGATAATAAATGCATCGCTGGTATCCATAACAATGAAGTGAACGAAGAACTTAGTGATATGGCATCTGTAGCACTTTCATTTGCGCGACGAAGTGAAACATTCAATATGACGTTTAATTTGTTTACATGTAGTGTGAAATTTTAAAGACTGCAAGTTTTTATCAAAAATTCATTCACTTTACCGAAATAAATCCATCACCGTGGGTTAACTCACAAGTAGCGTAAAACGAAGAAATATCTCATGCAAAGCATAAACTGTTGGAATATTTACGGCGGTTATTATGTCATGGTTATTTTTAAAGCAGGTTTATTCCATAGCTATTCGAGTTACCCTGCATGGGCGGACGACCTCTTATCAAATTGTTTTTCTTACTGAAACTAATTACCGCAATAAAACAATGTTTTTAAGGTTTGCATTTAACAACCGTTTTTTATCTTTTGATGTCAAA